GTTGCATGTTCCTCTCCTCTACCCAGCTTTTTTCACAGAGGAGGACAATCTGGCCCCATGAAAGCATTCATTCAATACTCATAAAACTCCCACATACCATCTAACTTCTCAATAAGTTATATATGTACTTATACATTTAAAAAAAATAACTTTTGCTCTTCTTACAACAATCTGAAGAACACATGATGCTTTCTTCTCTTCTTTGTTCCATCTCGTATTGCAGCTTGACCAATAATCTGCAAGACTCTCTCAATGCCATCTTTCGTCTTCGCAGAGCACTCCAGGTAGGCATATGCCCCAATGCTAGCAGCCAAGGCTTTTCCTTCTTCCGTCTTTATTGGCTCTTGTTCCAGTGTAGCAAGTCTTTCCAGCACACCCTCATCGTTCCTCAGTTCTTTCTTGGTAGCCACCAGAACAATGGGAGCTGTGGGGCAGAACAGTTTGACCTCTGGAATCCAAATGTCAAGGATGTTCTGCAGTGCATTTGGCCTGTCCACTGAGAAGCACATTAAGATGACACTTGTGCCTCGATAGAACAACGACCGAAAGGGCTGATAATTACCTCGGTGCTGCCCTGCTACATCGAAGAGCATCAGCTTCATTGACTTCCCATCAACCTTGGTGTCATTGATGTAGGTTTCAAACACTGTTGGCTCATAGCATTTGGGAAACTGTTCCTTGCAGAAGGCAAGCAGGAGGCATGTCTTGCCACAGGCAACATCTCCCACGACAGTTAGCTTTTTCCAAACAGCAGCCATCTTCTGAAAAATAGGATGTGGTGCAGAATGAACCCCTCCAGCTTCAAGCTTCCAATGCTTTGTAAATACTCTTTGAGGAGAGAGGGAGAGGAGGAGGCGGCAAATCACACTAGATTAGAATCTGTCCCTTTGTATTATTCCCTTCTGCCCATATTTATGATTTCTTGATCTTTGTGTTGTTTATCTGTGATAAAAACATAAAAACGGCCATACTGGGTCAGACCAAAGGTCCATCTAGCCCAGTATCCTGTCTTCCAACACTGGCCAATGCCAGGTGCCCCAGAGGGGATGAACAGAACAGGTAATCATCAAGTGATCCATCCCCTGTCGCCCATTCCCAACTTCTGGCAAACATAGGCTAGGGACACCATCCCTGCCCATCCTGGCTAATAGCCATTGATGGACCTATCCTCCATGAACTTATCTAGTTCTTTTTTTAACCCTGTTATAGTCTTGGCCTTCACAACATCCTCTGGCGAAGAGTTCCACAGAGTGAGGGTGTGTTGTGTGAAAAAATATTTCCTTTTGTTTGTTTTAAACTTGCTGCCTATTAATTTCATTTGGTGACCCCTAGTTCTTGTGTTAAGCATTAAATAACACTTCCTTATTTACTTTCTCCACACCAGTCATGATTTTATTGACCTCAATCTTATCTCCCTTTATTCATCTCTTTTCCAAGCTGAAAAGTCCCAGTCTTATTAATCGCTCCTCATATGGCAGCCGTTCCATACCCCTAATAATTTTTGTTGCCCTTTTCTGAACCTTTTCGGATTCAAATATATCTTTTTTGAGATGGGGTGACCACATCTGCCCGCAGCATTCAAGATTTGGGCATACCATGGATTTATATAAAGGCAATATGATATTTTGTGTCTTATTATCTATCCTTTTCTTAATGATTCTCAACATTCTGTTAGCTTTTTTTGACTGACGCTGCACATTAAGTGGATGTTTTCAGAGAACTATCCACAATGACTCCAAGATCTCTTTCTTGAGTGGTAACAGCTAATTTAGACCCTGTCATTTTATATGTCCTCTCAAGTCCTTCATGATTAGCATCGTCCACAATTTTCACTGACATGCTATTTACTCTCTCTTCTAGATCACAGAATGAAAATGTCAAATAAGACTGGACCTAAGATAGATCCCTGCAGTGCCCCATTAGATAACTCTCCTAACTCAGACTATTGCTGTTTCTCATTTTATATTTTGTTCGCATTCAGCCGATTCTCACTCCCAGGACAGTGTTCATTTTCAAGACAATTTGATTTCATTTTCAAAGTGTGATTGTGTGTGAGACACTGCAGTGAATGCTTTACTAATAGCCAAATAGATTACATCTCCTGCTTTCCCATCAGCCACCAACAACGTAATTTTTATCACCAAAAAACCCCAAGCTTGGCTGGCACCATCTATCCTTTATAAACCCATGTTGCTTATTGCTCAGGGGTCTGTCATCATGTAGAAGTTAAGAGAGCCGACCCTCCCCCCAATTTCATACATATACCATTATTTTATTACCAGCAATAGGAGTTAGACTTACAGGTAGTAACTTCCAGGATCACTTTTCTTCCCTTTCTTGAAGATCAGCAGGACATTTGCTTTTCTCTAATTTTATCTCCCCAGTTTTCTTTGGAACACTAATTCACCTATGAAGACAGTTCTCCACCACTCTTGCAGGACACTCGTGATAAGCACTCTTTTTAAATAAATGTTTGTGTTTCTTAATTTAGCCAGCCAATCAGCAAAGAGCAATGAATGAGATCATTGCTTTTAAAAGCAAACTGCTTTACTTGTAATTACGTAAGGAGGGTGAAAACATCAATTCCACAATCCTGGAGAGGATTACAACATCAATTACGCAATGCATATACTGGTTGCTTCATGTACAATAGAAATGAGGAAGTACAAGACTGCTGCTCAAAATTCCCTCCCCGAGTAAATTATGTTTGTATTATTAAGAGTTCCAACTAATGTAGTGCTTTGGAACTGTCAGTCCAGGAGACTGAAGCTCTTTAGTAAGCTATGTAGCCAGCAGAGCATGGGGGACAGTAGCAAATCAAACTTCCTCATGCCATCACACCAATATACCTTTTTTCTGATCTGGAAAGACAACTTAGAGAAGTGAGGTTAGTCCAGTCTCCACGACGCAGTCAATCTAGAGGGAAAGGATGGTCCAATGGTTTGGGTGCTAACCTGAGACTTCAGAGACTTGGAGTCAATGCCCTGCTCTGCCACAGACTTCCTATATGGCCTTGAGCAAGTTATTTAGCCTGTCTGTGCCTCAACTCCTCATCTGTAAAACAGCACTTCCCTACCTCACAGGGGTGTTTGGAGGATAAATATGCTAGAGATTGCGAGGCACTCAGATACTATGGTAATGAGGGTTATATAAGTGTAACACTGACAGATCCCAGTTGTCGGCAGGTGGGATTGAACCTTGGGACCTCTGGAGCTAAATGCATGAGCCTACTGCATGAGCTAAAAGCTATATGGCCCTTAGCTAAGGCTGTAAAGCAGACTCATTAATCTCTCTCTAAGTGGTCTCAGTGCCACTAGATGGGATAGAACACCACACCCAGGTGGTGTGTGGGCTACATAAGCAGCTACGATCGATAGATTTGGCATCCACTGAGAGTATCAATTGCAGGGGTTATTTGTAATGCAGACACTTAAGCCTGGATGCACAAAAGGAATTAGGTGCCTAAGTCCCAGTTTTGGCACTATTGCAAGGCACAACTGCTGCTGAACCTTTTAGGCACCTCACTCTGCACCAAAGTTTTTGCAGAAAAGCTCCCTAGGCACTCAAGTTGCTGCCTCCAGGCATGCGCTCTGCTACCTTACGCTAGGCATCCAGCTGTCTATCTCCCACCTAAGCCTCAGAGCAATTCATGCACCGGGAAAGACCGGCATTTTGACACTTAAGTCACTTGTGGGGCCCAATCCAGTTGGCACCCTCTGAGCATGCCAGCTGGGGGCAGCGGAGACAGGTGGCAGAACTCCCTCATAACTTTTTGCCCAGTGGTTAGGGCACTCAACCTGGGATGTGTGGGAGACTTCCAGTTCAAGTCCCCGCGCTGCTTGAGGGGGAGAAGGGACTTGACGAGGGATCTGTTCATGGGGAGGGATAGCTCAGTGGTTTGAGCATTGGCCTGCTAAACCCAGGGTTGTGAGTTCAATCCTTGAGGAACTCACCCTGATTGTTTATACATTTATTTAACATATTATCGGGCTAATTCCTCTTCGTTCAGAATATACTCTTACATGTACCGCACCTAC